TTTGTATTGGTTGAATAGATGAATCTGAGATTGTGTGATGCTTATCGTATAATCATGCCCACGGATACTTGAGGTGACAATTGAGTATCTAGGTGACATTAGGGTTTTGGTTGATTTGTGTCTTAAGGTGTTGTTCTAGTATGAACTCTTGAATATATTGATCCGAAAGAATAACTTTGAGGTGGTTTCGTACCTTACCATAATCTCTTCGTTTGTTCTCCGCTATTAGTGGCTTTGGAGTGACTCTTTGTTGCATGTTGGGGGATTGTTATATGATCTATCTATGTTATTATTGTTGAAGAACTTGCACTAGTGAAAGTATGAACCTTAGGCCTTGTTTCCTATCATTGCAATACCGTTTACGCTCACTTTTATCATTAGTTACCTTGCTGTTTTTATAATTTCAGATTACAAATACCTTTATCTACCATCCATATTGCACTTGTATCACCATCTCTTCGCCGAACTAGTGCACCTATACAATTTACCATTGTATTAGGTGTGTTGGGGACACAAGAGACTCTTTGTTATTTAGTTGCAGGGTTGTTTGAGAGAGACCATCTTCATCCTACGCCTCCTACGGATTGATAGACCTTAGGTCATCCACTTGAGGGAAATTTGCTACTGTCCTACAAACATGTGCACTTGCAGGCCCAACAACGTCTACAAGAAGAAGGTTGTGTAGTAGACATCACATCGCGCCCTTGGTTGGCCCCCCAACCTTTGAGAGATGCACGGAGGCCCGGCCCTGTGGCGACCCATAACTCCATGGGCCCCCGCTGAGGGCCGAGTCTATTGAGACAGGCGTCCCACTTTTGCCTAAACACCTGGTTGAAATCCGGGATTTCGAACCAGGCTGTTTCAAAGAAGAAACGAGTACTTCGGCTCAGCCTATCCTCCCCAGTAGACAGAACCATAGGGACGTGGTCAGACCCAATACGAGTCTCAGCTACCAGCGAGCACATGGGGAACAACACCTCCCATTCGGCCATCACGAACACCCAGTCAAGCACAGATCGCACCGGCGAGAGCTGTTTGTTGGTCCAAGTGAAACGCGCCCCAATTCTGGCCACTTCCCTAAGTGCCATGGATGCAATCGTGTTATTAAACATAGAAACCCTATTCTATAGTTTATGTTCGTGTTGTTTTTGTCCGCTCCCGTGCGGATCAAGTTAAAATCTCCCCCATTACGAGAGGGAGATTGAGGGCGACCGAGTGTCCCACCACTGCCTGAATCTCGTCCAGGAACTCGTGAGAGCGCGAGTGGTCGGAGGGGCCATACACCACGATCACTACCCACTCGCAGAGCGTTGCCCTGTGCCGAACGTGGGCAGAAATAAAAAAGGTGTCTGTCTCCCAAGACAACACCTCAAAGCATCCACTATTTAGGCCTAAATGCATGCCGCCCGAGTGCCCGCGAGCCAGGGTCCAGTGCCACGCGAATCTCTCCAGGGGATCGATCGCAAGCAAATCTTGCTGGTGGAATTCAGCCTTAATAGTTTCCTGGATGCCTACCGCGTCAATGCCCTCATTGCGCATGTATTCCTTAAGCTGGGCCTGCCTCCCAACGTGGCCGAAGCCGCGGATGTTCCAAAAGAGAAACCGCATTTAGATGATACGATTGCAAAGATGGATTCCTCGCGAGGTCACGGCTTTAGCCACACGCCTCGTCTTAGACTGCAAACGAGGAAGGGAGACGACAGCTGCCCCTGCCGCTACCTATCCCTGATCAGGCTGCGCAACCACGGGCGAGGATGTCCCTACATCCCCAACCTGAACGGCCACCCGCGCAACCGCAGCTCGAGCTAGAGCTGCCTGCGCAAGTTCTTTCGAACGAATGAGGGAAATCAGCTCACGAGCCTCGCTCGCATTTGTCATATCAACCCCACTATCCCCCAAGACCGCACCCAAGTGATCGTTCGAGAAGGAATCTAGAATCGTAAAACGAGATTGGGGGGGGGGGCTATTACCTTCAATCTCCATGTTCTTCTCAGCTTGCAGAAGTTGAGCGCGTTGAAGCGAAGGCAGGTTGCCCTTGGCGCCCTTGGTCGCGCAAGATTTGTGTTTTGAGCGGCCGGTGTGGTCGCACAACAGTTATGTCTCGCTTATACTGCGAGATGTATGCTCGTCTCTCCTCCGGCGCTTCCGCTAATGGGCCGGTTTCTGGGAGCGGGCTTGGGAAGTTTTTATAGACCGGTTTGGACCGGTTTAAGAAGCTTCCGCGTGTGCTTTTTCTTTCTTTGTTTCTTTGCGTTTCTGTATCGGTTTTCATTGCTGTTCTTTGGGCTTTTCTTTGTCCTATTTTCTATACCTTTTTGTCTTTTTCAAATTTTCAAATATATGTCAATTTTTTTAATACAAGTTAAACATTTTGCCATAAACCCTCAACATATTTTAGATATATGTTGGACTATAATACATATTTAATATTTTATCCAAATAATGCTGAGCAATTGTCAAATGCATATTGAATACTATTTTATACATGTTGAATATTTTTCAGATACACAATGAACATTTTCCAAATACACGTTGAACTTTTTTTCTAATGTATATTGAACATCTTTTAAATACAAGGTGAACATTGTTTTTACACACATTGAACATTTTTCATAAATGAAATGAACATTTGTCGAAGAGCTATGTTTAGAAGGTTCCATGTGGGC